AGAGTTTCAACGTCTTTTTTACATCATGGCAACCAAAACGGGACACGATATTCCAAGTATCCTCATACTAAGCCCTTACTTCTACTTGAGGAGGGAGGACGCTCTAAGCAGGGTGGCCTGTGGCAGGTCCTCCCTGGAGGGATGGAGCTGCAAGGGAGAACCAAGTTTGTTTCGAGGACAACATAGATCAAGGGTCTTCAAACTTGGCAGCTTTAAGACTTGTGGACTTCAACTCCCAGAATTCCTGAGCAAACATGACTGGAGGAGGGATTCTGGGAGTTGAAGTCCACAAGTCTTAAACTTGCCAAGTTTGGAGACCTCTGCTATAGCACCTAAGATTTTCAGTCTAAGACAAGAAGGGTCTTCAAACTTGGCCAGTTTAAGACTTGTGGACTCCCAGAATTTCTGAGCTAACCCTGACTGGAGGAGGAATTCTGGAAGTCCACAAGTCTTAAAGCTGCCAAGTTTGAAGACCCCTGACATAGATAGACAGGTTTGATGAAATTTGCAGCCTTGGCTATCCTGCTGCTTCAGAAGGAACTGTTTCCAAGGTCCCTCTCTCTGCCTTTCCTACTGGTCATTTTCCCTGAGCCAAGCTCTTCTCCACTTTAGCTTAGCTGGTGTTCCAGATTTATAAAAATAGGAGACGGGAAAGATGCCAGGGATGCCCCTGCACTGCATCCCTCCAAGACAGTCACAGAAGGCCTTCCTGACTTCCCTGTGTGGAAAGGGAACTTCACGAAGACAGTAGTGTCACTCAAACAGGAAAAGCCCAAGGGGAACATCAGGCCAGCCCTAAAACAAACTTACACAGGAAAAGGAATCAAACAAAAGGTATTAAAGAATCTCTATAGAAAAAAGCCTAAGTAATTAAGAAAACTAGACAAATAAGAAAAAGAAACCCTTAAAAACACAGGACATACCAAATAAGAAAAACAGACAAAAGACACAAAAAAATATAAATTACAAAAGAGACAGACAGGAGATTGCCACAAAACAAATATGAAAAAAACCATTATAAAGCTAAAAGAGATTAGAAAAAACCCGATAATACAATCTAACCACCCCGCGGAGTTTGCCTTCCGCACCCCGCGGAGTTTGCCCTCTGGCGGGAATAAAGACAAACTCAAACAGGATTTGAAACATTAAGCACAAATACAAACATTCACACGAAATCAACTCACAAAGGGAGAAAGGGGTATAAAAACCAGGGACTTACCATAAGAAGCCAGCTAGCCCAGGAACGCAGACTTCTCGCTGTCCCTCGCCTTCCTCAAAAATAAAAAGATCCAGCTTTCAAGCAGTCGTCCGTATCCTTGCGCCGGAGCTCTCCCTGCGGGAAAATCGAATCCTCAAAGGAAAGGCATTTTGGCACCTTTCAACACCTGCTTTTCCCTAGTGAACCTCCCCAAGTTGTCCCTTCCACAGGTGGACTTTAGAAGCATTTCCTTCTGGAGTAGTCTTCCCCCTATTCAAGAAAGTCTGAATGCAGATTGACAGGCACTTTAATAAAGCTGAAATACTGGAAATACCTTTGGTATGCACGATAGTTTTTTTTTCAATGGTTTTTGTTTCTCCTTTTTTTTTTTTTTTTGCACACCCATGGTAGAATTATACAGGCCTCTGCTCTAGAGATAGCAATGGAATAAAATTGCAACCTGGTTAACAGAAACACCAAAACATTACTTTGATTTAGGTCCAGAGGTTTACACTGCCTGTTGTAATCCCAGGCAATGCTAAAACCATTTCTCTTTGGTATTCTTCATTGGTTCCTAATGAATAGAATAGAATAGAATAAGAATGGAATAGAATGGAATTCTCGGTTGGCCAAGTGTCATTGGACTCACAAGGGATTTGTCTTGGTGCAAATGCTCTCAATGTACATAAAAGAAAAGTTACATTCGTCAAGAGTCAAAAATCACCAGGTCCAACACTTAATAATAGCCATAGGGTACAATAAGCAATCAAATCATACTAGGAAACAGTCAATATAAATCATAAGGATACAAGTGACAAAGTTACAGTCATACAGTCACAAGTGGGAGGAGATGGGTGAAAGGAAGGGAGGATTAATAATAATAGTAATGCACAAAATAAAATATTTACAAAAAACAAAATCATATTTATAAAAAATCATATTAGGAAACAGTCAAAAGAAAGATACAGGCAACAAAGTTACGGTCATATAGTCATAAGTGGGAGCAGATGGGTGAAAGAAGGGAGGATTAATAATAATAGTAATAATAATGCAGACTTAGTAAACAGTTTGACAGTGTTGAGGGAATTATTTGTTTAGCAGAGTGATGGCTTTTGGGAAAAAACTGTTCTTGTGACTAGTTGTTCTGGTGCGCAGGGCTCTATAGCGTCGTTTTGAGGGAAGGAGTTGAAACAGTTTATATCCAGAATGTGAGGGGCCTGTAATGAAGACATTATAGGAGGAGATTCGTGTTAGTCTAGGTTGGAAAAGGATCAAGAATCTGGTAGCACTTTTCCCAACTAACCAGATTTATGAAAAGGCAGCAGCTTTCATGATCCTGGATTCTGGATAGTAAAAAGGAGGACTGAAAAAGTACATCTATCAGATGCTGGAGAAAGGAAAGGAATATTCTTCCCTTCTGTGCTTCACACTCTCTCCATTATCCCCTCCCATTTCCTTTTCCTGCACTGTGAATTTGACCTGAAACAAAGCAGAAAAGCCAAGTCTTTTCAAAGTATCACGTATCACAGCAGAAAATTTTCCAATAGCTTTGGAACATTTTCCTCAATAAATTTTAAAAAATATGTTTTTGACTCATTTCCAGAATTGGGTTCTCTTTATCTACTTTTAGGGTTGTGTGGGGACTAAATCACCTTTTAAGTCATATTTATGCAGGAGTATTGAAAAATGCAAAATTCAGCACCACTGTAGCTTCGTACATGCTAACTGCTGCAAGGATATTATATATGCTTATTATTGAAAAGGAGGCCTGTTTCCTTTATGGGAGAAGAATTAACCAATTTGTGTGATTCTTTGAATTTTTCTCAGTGCCTAGAATCATCCCTGCTTGAAATGGGAGGCTATATAAATTTAATAAAAAAGATTTTTTGATGCCCTTTGTATGTTGTTGCCACTTTATCTTTTTTTAAGTGCAAGTTTATAGGTTATTAGAATGAGAACAGGCTGTCCATTTACATTCAATCTATTATAGCTTTTAATGTAATATATTAGAAATGGCTGTCAATATGAATTCTGCTTAAAGCTAAATTGGTTAAGTACTGGAGGAATGGAAGAGGGAATGTCCCCAGCATTAAATGGGGTTTGGAAACTAGAGTAGTCACAGAACTTCCCATCTGGTCCAAATCAGATTCCAAAGCAATCAGTGCCATGATTAAATATATTTATTGACATCTTTGCCTGTAAATAAGTGTTTTGGCATGTATATTTTGGTGTTGTTTTTGTTTTTACAGGTTTTTTTCTTTTACAATTTTGTCCCGTTTTTGTTGTTGTTGTTGCAATTTAAAAACCCTTTAAAAAATAAAATACAAACAGTGTGATGCCCGTTGTGGGTGGGTGGGTAGAATAACCACAACCACCATAGCAATCTCAGAAACAACTGGCCAACAACCAGAGATCAAGATGGGCTGGTTAAAAAAATCAGCTGCACCAAATTAATCTGGATCAGGCAGCTTCCTTAATAGACTGGGGGAAGCAATTGATGTACAAGGTCCTCCACTTACAAGTGCAATGGAGCCCAACAGTTCTGTTGCTCAGGGAGATTTGTTCCCATGAGTTTTGCCCCATTTTACGACCTTCCTTGCCCCAGTTGTTAAGCGAATCACTGCAGTTTGTAAGTCAGTAAAGTCCGGTGGTGGAGCGAATCGGGCTTCCCCATGGACTTTACTGGTCGGAAAGAAGGATTCCACATGGATCAAAGAGGGATCCCACATGGATCCCAGGGCACTGCAACGGTTGTAAATATGAACCTGTTGCCAAGCGGGTGAATTTTGATCACGTGACCGTTGTTGAAACAAGTAAAGCAGTTTGTTAAAGGTGAATCTGGTTTCTTCATTGGCTTTGCTCATCAGAAGATCACCAAATGCAATCCTGGGACACTGCAACTGTTGTAAGCACAAGTCAGTTGTCAACCTTTGAATGGAAACCACATCAAATTTTGATCATGAGATCGTTGTTAAAGGAGTAACACAGTTGTTAAACTGAATCTGGTTTCCTCATTGGCTTTGCTGGTCAGAAGAATATCAAGGCCAATCACGTGACCCTGGGACATTGCAAAGCATCCTAAGTACTAATCTGTTGTCAACCTTTGAATGGAAACCATGTGGAATTTTGATCACATGACCATTATCAAACAAGTAACAAGAGTTGTTAAAGTGAATCTGGTTTCCTCATTGGCTTTGCTCATCAGAAGATCATCAAATGCGATCCTGGGACACTGTGACCCTCATGAGTACGAGTCCATTGTCAACCTATGAATGTAAATCATATGACGGGTGGGGGGGCGTGGTGCTGCAACGGTCGTTAAGTGTGACAAAAAATGGCCCTAAGTCACTTTGGTGCCTAGAAAGGTCCCTAAACTAAGCGCTGTAAGTCGGGAACTACTTTTGCTTTATTTTGGCTCCCTCCGACATGTCAGGGGCCGGATTGGAGGCTCACTCCGCCTGGCCCTTGAAGGGGAGACCCCTGGGCTTCGACGCCTGACTGAGAAGCCGAAGGGAAAGCCCTTCATGCCCCTTTCCCCCGGCCCGGCTGGGAGGAGGAGGAGGAGGAGGAGGACCACGTCTCGGAGAGGCTCCGGAGGAGAGACGAAGGACAGTCCACCTCGACCTGGCAGACAGGCTCAACTGTGAGGCCTTCAGGGCTGCGCCTCAGCCCCTTTTGGCAGTTGGGGGGGCGTGGCCTGGCAGAAGGGGCGCGGCCCCGGTTGAGAGGCGGCCTATCCGCGGCCTCCTTCCTGGAGGGCGGCGCCGTCCAATGGCTGCCGCGCTCTTTGGCCTGCAGACCTGCCAGCCGCGCCCGCGGAGGCGGAGGAAGGCTGGACCGCCGGAGCAGCCTCGACTCGCCTGGGCCGCCGCTGCCGCCGCTTCTCCGCGCCAGGTGAGCCGCTGTGCGTGGCCAGGCCCCGCCGGGAAGGCCGTCAGGAAAGCGGGCGGCTTTTCGGAGGCCTTCAGCCGTTGCTTGAGGGTGGCGGGGAGGGGGCGTCGGATGGAGGCCCCTCCCCCACCCGTGTTTTATCCCCCTGATGGGGCGGGTTCTGGGGACGTTTCCTTGAGGGAAAAGGAGAGGGGAGGGGGCCAAGGTGAGGAGTGGGAGGGAAAGAGATGCCCCCCCCACAGACGGCTTGTGTAAGGTCGCCTTTACAGCCCCCCCCTCCCCCAGTCTTGCTGGCCCGGGGCGTTTGGGGAATTGGAGTCCGCATCTCTGCAAAGCATCCTGAGGTTGGGAGATGCTGGCCCGGAGGAAGAAGGGGGAGAAAACGGCTCTGTGGTACCCTCCCCCCTCCTTGGAAGAGGAGGGGGGCGATTCAACCTCCGTTAAATCCGTTGGGAAGACACATATAACAGCAATAGCCCATGGACGATGACTTCTTTTTTGGGTATAATTTATATAGAGATAGATAGATAGGCGATGAGATATAGATATATGATAGAGATAGATAGACATATAGATAGATAAATGAGAGAGAGGGAGAGGGAAAGATTTGATAGATAGATAGATAGATAGATAGATAGATAGATAGATAGATAGAT